CGCCAGAACGGATTAACGGTAATTACATTGATCCTTATGGGGAAATTTCCTTCGAGTTGCAACCAATTCAGGTTGTGGCCAGAGTCACGGAACGAATTAAGTTCGTTAACCAAGGTTCCATTGTATATCCCTAATAACTGATAAAATCTAGAAGTTTCAGCTTGAAACCCCAAAGTTCTGATTTAACAAAGTACAACGATGTAAAATTGATCAGCAATTGAAATTAGTGAGTGGTAATATAGCAGGCAGTGGGCATCTTCATTTCAAAGCACTACAATGAAAGAGAGCTTTTATTTGCCTCTAACCAGGTTTGAATACATTTTTATATTGGTTTTTAGTATACTGTGGCATGAGGCTTGTCTCAATTGGCATCCTCATTATAGGAAAAACATCTGCTTCTTGGGCTTTGAACAGCCATTAATTCTAATGTGCCTGAGCAGTGTTCATCCTTAGTGTCTGCTAAATGAATTATTGCTGTCTTTAGTTGTTGTGTGGGCCAGGATTCCTTTTCCCCTCCTGATCTTGAAGACGTGGGCTATAAATTAGATTAACAAGTTATATTATGTCTAGACACTTTACCTGCCTCTTCAATCTGCCAACCTATACATAATAGAGATGGCCAGGTTGGATTCTTTCAAATACAGACTGGCTGAGGATGTGGGGCTTGTGGGGCTTGGACTGAAAACCTGCAAATTAAAATAACAGAAATGCTTTGATGAAATGACAGTGTGGTGGTACATATCCCCATTTAAACTGTCTCAAGCATTGCAAAGATGCTCAGTTTTTTAAAAATAATATGGATTAAAGCAAGCTTTCCAAAGAAATGGCAAAGAACTGCTGGAAACCAATATTATAGCTGGTAAGAAGATTCATAATGTTGTAGCAAATGGCGTGCCAAAGATTGAAAAAGCAATTGATTTCCAAGACCACCTTGTTTTGGATTGGAGTAATTTGGTTGTTATGACTAAAGTGACCTGAGTAGGACAGAATATAGACAGAATGGAGGTTTTAGATAGACAAGAAACCAATTAATTCTGGAATGAAGTGGCATAAAAATCTTAGTAATTAATAAATAAACCCTTTTTCTTTGTTTAGGTGCATTGTCATTTTGTAAAGAGCCTAACTGCATCTTTGCATGGAAGGTTTTATGGTAAAAAGCAGGGTAAACAGTATTAGGGATGTTATGCATTGATCTCAAATGATAGGCTATCAGACAGCTGTTGTTTTAACAACTTGATACCTAGTTTGTATCTTATGTGTATGGATATTGCCACACTCCTATGGTTTGAAGAGGGCCCATTTAGAGATGTTACCCTGCTGATGTGTTTTACAATCCAGCTGTTGGGGGCTGAACTAGTGCAAGCCCGTGTCCCCACCATTGGAAACCGTCCTATTTCCCATTTATTGTTCTGGCTGAAGATTTGTTAGCGTGTTTTAGGCTGCTAGTAACCTGGACATTCCAGGGTGATAATGGGCTATTGGTTTCATGCCACTAGTTGTTATCCCTAAAGTTTGTAGCTTCATCATACTTCTAGCCATGTGACCCACTGACAGATATGGGGCAATAGAAGATATGGAGAGAACAGTGTCCCAGTAGGTACTCTGTCAGCCTCTCTGAAGGTGATATTCCTGCTACTGCTTTTTTTAGGTTGCTTCCTCTCCAAGTGAGCACCTGAAGATAGGGGCTTTGAAGAAGACCTTACTTAACATTTTATATTGTCTTTTAAATCTTGGGTTTCTTAATTATTGTCTTTTCACTTCCTCCTGGAGGAATCAATTTGCCTGGGGGAAATGTATATTGTGAAATAAATATTTGAGGAAGAGCATCAGTTTAGGTACCAGGGCTGGCATTATCTGCAATCCTTTTCTAGCTCTTAAGGTACAGCTTTCCACTGAATTTGGTCTGCTGCCTTAGACGTATGTAGGTTTTCCACTTAGTATTGGTTGGAATGACCTAGGCTGATGTTTCTTCAGAGAGTTCTGGTACAAGAGGCAAGTGATAGGCCGATGCCAGTGGGTGACGGAAGAGCTTGAGTAGAAGGCATCTTACGTGACTTGCACCCCAGTTGGAACTGAACTAAAAGTAATTATCAGAAGGATGGAGTACAGGGCTAATCATTCTGGATCAGTAGTTAAAACCCTGCCTAATATTGTTGCTGTGGAAGTAGTTTCTGTCCAAACTTTATTCTGGAAGGGAACACTATCTCTTGACTATTGTTTCTTCTGGCAAGTTTCAAGTAGAATTTATTGTGGTTGTAAAAAGTCTACATTACTGCTTAATGCATGAAAAAAGATGGACTTATTATGACTTTTACTTTGTATCGTTGGGATGCATGTTTTCCCTTCTGTATTGATGCCTGTTTGGGACAGTTTATACGCTATGAGTCATTGATCACCTGCTAGTGCTACCATTCACACACACACACACATGCACACACACACTGTGTATCACTATTGGCATCCGAGACCATCGTGACATTTCTGAACTGGAGGAAGTGGTTGATTGACAGAACTTAGAGAAGATTCATCGTCTCCTTATGTAAAGAGCTGCTGCAGAAAGTGGTCTCGGGCACCCAAGCTAGAAGGGCTCCCCATCTTTGGCAAGGTTCTGTGAAATGTAAATCCTTTCAGTAAGGAGTCAGTATCTCAAGGCAAGTTCCAGACAGCCGTGCCCATCATTCCTGTTGCTTTGTCTAATCATTACCCCGCAGAAGGTAATCAGCAAGGGACTGGCTTGTAGAGTTAACACATTGGGAAATATTGCATAATGGACTTTTTGTGCATAGGGCATAAATTCAATCCTGGTTCAGAATGATTAATGGCTTAGTGTGATCTGTGAACCTAGCTAACTATGATTTGTCCAACAAGCTGTAGTTAAATTATAGCATAGCTACTGCCTGAATCAGGTCCTTGAGGATTCAGGAGGATTCAGTCTCATTCAAGATAGCCTTTTTTAGACACTGTTTATAATACCTCTGAATATTGAATGCCTCTTGGGACCCCAGCGTCAGCCAATGTAGCAAACATAACCAAAGCCATATTTGGGGTGCACAATAAAATATGCTAGACGCTGCAGAAACAACCTGCTGGCAGGGAAGGGAATACACTAGGAGGAGCACAGGCTGGAACCAAACTCTCTTTCTTCAGTGCATGATCAAGAGCAAGGCTATTGATTCCCTAAATCATCCATTGTTCCCAACAAGATAAGCAGGAAAAAGTGATCATAATGTTTGTAGCAATGTGATAAAATGCTTGCTCCCTTGAAAAACTTGTCTTTTCTAAGAGAATCCCATGTAATCACAGATTCAGGAAAACTTCCAATCACTCTTCAGCTGTGGTTTTGTTCCATTTAACAAAGGGGAAAGCTACCCCATAGCCTAGTATGACTACTATCTTCCAACAGCTCCAAGAAGATGACATAAAGTTCTGAAAGCTTCCATGCTGTGCTTTAAATTTTGTTGACTTAGCTTTGTTTTCTTCCCAGGGACCAGCGAACTGGTTTCCGAAAGTTTTCTTTCTTCTGTTCTAGCATCATTCCTCCCTGCTGTCCCCAGTTCCATGGTGCCATTTACACAAGGACTAACTTTTCAGACTCCTGTTCTTTCATGCGAGTTGGCCAGCATCTGCCTTGCTTCATTCTGCCTGAAGCTGCAGCGTCACCCAGGTGGCTCGTTTCTTCGGCGAGGTCAAGCAGTCATGGACAGCAGGCAGAAGACCAACTGGGAGTGACCTAAAGGTGGTGGGACTCTCTCAGTGGACCCTGGGCTTTCATCAGCTTCTGGGGAAGAAAGTAACTGGATGCCCTGGGCACTTGTGTTTCCAAAAATGAGGCCTATGTTCATGAAGCGCAACCTGGTGATTTGTCAAGAAGGGACACAGCCCCCATCTTCCTGAATGACTCCGATAAGAAATTGCAAAGGGGGGTTATTTTTACTGCTGATGTATTTTGGGGTATGGAGCCCACTATACATTTCAGGTGAAGAAGCTGTACGCTGTGTTTAAACGTGAGGAAAATGCAGCAGCCCAAAATATGTCGTGTTAGCAAAAGTGTCACTTCTCTGCTCCCTCCACCCTTAAATGTTGAATATGTAAATGTAGGTAATGAATAAGGTTTTCAAGTTTTTTAGATGTTTTAGTTTAGGGCAAACAGGTTTAGGGCAAGCTAGAGATGGTGTTCAACAGTGTGTCAGCTTTTTCTTTTCACAAGTGTCATCTCTGCAGTACTCCTACTTGTGTTCAACATTCCAGCGTAATGCTTGCAGAAATACCTGGAACATTTCATCCCTCTACCACAGAATCAAATGTTCTTTGTTCTGTTCCCTCTTCTCTATTAAATGTGGGTTACTCAGTGTATCTCTTTGACTCTAAAGTGGCAAAGTAATTCTGCTGCTTGGCAGTTGCTATTTCTCATGCCCAGGTATTAAAGAATTTGCCAAACAAGATCAGTTTTAAAATAGGTGGCATAGTTTGATTGTTTTTTCTCTCTCTCTCTCTCTCTGAGCAATAGAAGAGACGCCAGTAGTGGATCAAGGTCTTCTGTATAATTCTTCAGCTCCCTTTCCTCATTGCTTTCTTTATCCTTCTCTTTAAAAAGTTTAATATTTGAAATATATAGACACTTGTGCATTTTTTTTTCTAATCTGTAACAGTATTTTGCCTTTTGCACCCGTTACAATCAACTTTGGAAAATAATTAATGGCTTAGTAACTTTTTTCTTAAATAAATTGTTTGTCATTTGCTAGCACTGGTGTAAAATACAGGCTTTTTTTGTTCCATAGCAGTGAAATGGATGGCATTTTGTGAGAAGATTAAAAGTCCTACATTCTGATAGTTAAGCAGAGCTGGGTTTACACATGTCATCTGAACATGGCAGTGCATGCATTGTCATCATTGTGCAATAACTCTTAAAATTACAACCTCTTAAAGATATGTGAAGGGACTGAGCATTAGTATTTAATGACAGCTTTAGTTACATACATACAGGATGACACAGCTTATGTCAAATTATCTTGTACAAATAATTTACTCCCACTCTGACCTCATGGAAAGTTGTTCCACGTGGGCAGGAGGAAGAGGAGAGAGTATGTCTTTTTTAGATCCACTCATGTTTGCCTAGAAATGACAAAATTATGTAATTAACTGTATCCCTAAATACCATTTGATCCTCATGGAATTAATGTATCAGAAATTAGGCTTGGACCTGAACTTATCATTCATTGCTTCTTGACACCTTGCATTCTCAGCCAAAAGATTTATACGATCTGAAGAGAAGCCAAGTTCTCAGCCAAGTTTGTGGCAAGTTCATCATGATTGTGGGAGACAGCTTTCTCCAGCCAGGTGCTCCTAACCTCTCTGAAGCCATCTAGTGTTGCAATGTGCAGACTATAAAGCAGTAAGCCATGCGATTTGTTTGGGTCCCATGTTCGTTTGAAGCCAGCCAAACTATAAACTTATAAACTATGTTTGGTGCACTGTGTTCTGTGGTTAAAGAAAGCATGGCTACACAGTGTGAGAACCCAGTGCGTTGATACCAGCTGGCCTACTGCATGGAGAACAAAAATGCCACACTTGTAACCTTCTGGGAATTGTAATCCTGTTCCTGTGTTTGGAGAGAAAATACATACTTAACCCAACTCATGGGTTCCTGACTCATATGTTATCTGGTACCAGCCAGCTGAAGAAACCAAGGACTTCTCCAGTTACCTTGGCAGCGTCTGTCTCAGCATCGTAGGACTTTTTGGCTGTCACTTTCTGGTTTTTTTTCCCCTTCTGCAGTTCAAAAAATAAAACCTATGGCCTGACCTGATAAACCCCTGGGCTTAGGATGTAATTTCCCCCATGCCCATCGTGTTTTTATTTCTTCTTCCTGCCTGCCTAGTGGTGGGGCAGTTTTTTAAGAAAGAAAACTCTGAGTTGCACCCTTTTGTGCTGCGGCTCTCACCTCCATCTCTCTGGCTGGAAACTGGAAGAAAAGGTCATTTGTCAGCAAACTGAATGGTGAAGATGTGCTACCATCCCAAGCTCTAGACTTGAGTAACCCATTAACCGAGTTCACCCATCAGCCTCCTTTAGGGTGAAATTGAGGTGGTGGTTGAAACCCAGTCATTGTCTTACCTTTTGAGCATAGTTTAATAGGAACACAGCAACTGTGTTTTGTTAGCCTGGGTTTTATTGTTGAACTGGTATATAAATCCAGCAACTTAGTCTTTGAATGATGTCGCTTATGTTGTTCAAACGCAGCTAGTAAAGTCCCTCCCTGAGAAATCCAGCGTGGTTGTAAGGCTAGCATGGCAGAGGCAGGAGGTTGTATTTGGCTGTGTTTTATTAGGAGATAAAATACTGGTTCGTGGCTATTCAGGAAACTTCACGTTATGCTGAAAAGCTTGGATTTCATTATTGCAATAAAGGCAAACTGTATTAAAAAGCCCAGTCCGAAAAGCCCATAGTCAGATTTAAAATGGACGCCTTCGCATGTTGATGCTGTAGTGAATTCTTTTCAGCCATGAAGTCCATTGCTGGAGACAAGGATCACGAAGACTGAGCTTACCCAGCACAACAAAGCCGCCTACTTACTGCCAGAGTAATCTGGGAACTTCTCAAGGTCAAAGCCATGCAGATAAAACATTATTTGGCTGCAAATGCCTCCAGTGATTTATAGGTTGATAAACTCCTGTTTTTGCAACCCTGTGGCCATTTCTGCCGAAAATAGAAAGTACCGTGTCCTGCTATCTGGGGGGGTGGGGGGTGGGAACATCTTCGTAATCCTACGCAAGCCAAAACATAACCACGTGCCTTTCTTCGTGTTAACCACAACTAATCCTAGAATTTTATTCTGGCCAGTTTCATTTAAGTCCGTTAAGAACTGACAAATGAGAAGCATATGAACGAAAAGCGGGCAGCGTGAAAACGAAAGTGCTGGTCCTAAAAGGGGGGGACATGTAGTCTCCTGCATGTCGTGGGCTTGGCTATTCAGTGCTCTTGAGCTAATGCAAAAAAACCACACACACACACCCTTGGGCCATTGGTTGGGAGTCCCTTCAGTCGTCTTACGAACAAAATGAAAGAGAGATCTGCAGATGCCTTCACCCGAAACTTTTCTTTTTAGCATACCATTCCAATCTACAGCCCGGATTCCTGGTGGTCTCCCATCCATCTACTAACCGGGCCCTACTCTGAGCAGCTTTTCCGCAAGGCGGACTGTCGCCTGCTTGAGACCTACAGGAACCCTACCTTTAAAAACGGGTTTTAGCATCCTGTCCCCACCCCTTTGTTTAAGTGTACTGATCATGATAATTAGTAAAATTATATAATATAATATATTATTATATATAATAATATAAAGTTATGTTATAATAAGGATGATTAATCACGATTAAGAACGTGATGGCTGAGCGGCTTCCGTGAACCCAGCCCAGCCACTTGGCCGTCCAGATGTGCCCGTGCGGAAGCCTCATCTTTCCCCACCTGGGCGGGGG